AAAATCAACGACACGGATTTTTTTTTGTATGGCACATTTAAAAGCGTTCGGGTTAGATCTTGAGCTCGGCCGAGTTGAGGTTGAGCTTCCCCTCTTTCTTGTAGCTATCGACGACGGGCATCACCTCCTCCGCGATGAACTCCGTAACCTGCGCAGCAAGCACTAGTTGTACACGGTGCTCAGGTGCAGCCCGCTGCCCTCGTGGGCCTCACCGTCCCCGCCACCGCCACACTCACCTGGTCGGGCGCCCTGCCGGTGAAGGTGGTGGGGTCGAGGAGCGCCTCCAGCTGCCCCATAATGGGCGCGAAGTAGGGGTCGGCGCGCACCCGAGCGATCAGGTCGTTGTCCAGGCCGAGCTGCTTCACCTGCGCGCCGGCCTCGTGCGACAGCACGCGGATCTTCTCGTGGCACACCTGCCGGTCGCCGCCCGCCTGGACCATGGCCATGATGATGTTCTCGGTGCTCATGAAGGGCAGCTCGGCGCGGATGTGGCGCTCTATCACCTTGGGGTACACCACCAGGCCCTCCACGACGTTCTGCAGCGTGAGCAGCACGCAGTCCGCCGCGAGGAAGGCCTCGGACAGCGTGATGCGTCTGGAGGGACACAGACACAGGGGGTGGGGTTCAAAGCGCTGCCTGGGAGAGCGGGTCTCGGTCTCGGGTCACCTTGCTGCTGCTTGCTTACCGGTTCGCGCTGTCGTCCAGGGTGCGCTCCAGCCACTGGGTGGCGGCGGTCTGCAGGGTGTTGGCCGGCAGCGTCATGAGGAACCTAGCGATGGAACAGCAGCGCTCCGAGCGCATGGGGTTGCGCTTGTACGCCATGGCCGACGACCCGATCTGGGTCTTCTCGAACGGCTCCTCCAGCTCCTTCATGTTGGCCAGCAATCGGATGTCGGAGCAGAGCTGCAAGCGGAGAACGGGGAACGATAGCGCGGGGGACGCGGCGGGGGTAGGAGGGGGGAAGGGTGACATCTGACTCACCTTGTGTATCGTAGCACCCAGGGAGGCCAGGACGTTCACCACCTCCACGTCCACTTTGCGGCTGTAAGTCTGGCCGCTGATGGTGAAGCTGCTGGCGAAGCCCGCCATCTCGGTTACCAGGCGGTCCAGCTGCTTCACTTTGGCGCCGTCGCCGTTGAACAGCGCCATGAACGAGGCCTGCGTCCCCGTCGTGCCCTTGACCCCTCGGAAGCGAAGGTCGCCGCGAACTCGCCTCAGCGCGCGCTCGTCCATGAGCAGGTCCTGCAGCCACAGGCAGGCGCGCTTGCCCACGGTGGTGAGCTGGGCCGGCCTGCAACCAACCAGGGCGCCGTCGAGTTAGCTCCAGGGGTTGGCCCGGCCGTAGCTCCCGCGAGCTGCTGCCAGCCGCCACCATCTCCCGCCAATCGTACTCACTGCAGGTGCGTGAAGCCCAGGGTGGGCAGCGCCTTGTGGCGCGCCGCGAAGTCCGCGAGGCGCTCGATGCACAGCACGAGGCGCGGCAGCAGCAGGTCCAGGCCGTCACGGAGCACGATCAGGTCCGTGTTGTCGCCCACGTAGCACGACGTGGCGCCCAGGTGGATGATGGGCGCGGCCGCGGGGCACTGCTGGGCGAACACGTGCACGTGCGCCATCACGTCGTGCCTGGTCAGCGCCTCCTCCTTGGCGGCCGCCTGCAGGTCCACGTCGTACCAGTGGCGCTCCATCTCGGCCACCTGCTCATCACTGATGTCCAGCCCCACCGTCTGAAACGACAAGAACACCGTCACCTCCCTGCCACAACGCACGCACGCTTCCCCCCTCGCCTCCAGAGAGAGGAGAGCCCCTGCGGACCCCAGGTAGGCAGCCCGACGGCACCGGGCCGAGGCGGGCGGCCTACGCTGAGCCTCCAGAGAAGAGAGCCCCTGCGGAC